GTTATTTTGACCCAAAGTTTGTTTGGCGAAATAGTTTCGTGGGCAAATTCGCAGGGAAAGTTTAGATTTTAGTTTCTGTTTTTCTGTTTTTGCAATGATATATATAAATATCTTCGAGAATTTTTGGCTACTTGTTTTTCCGACAACATTTCCCCACAGATTCCTCAGTAAATATACCCTAGCTTACCTAATAACGCACTCGACAAACTTTCCCAAGAATATCTGCAGAGGAACTGCAGTTCGTTGAGGTTTTTCATCGTGTCTGAGGAACTCCTTGCCGGAAACTACAGTGCATTTCGCACTGCACTTTGTGGGGAGCCCCATGGATGGGCGGGGCGGGGGTGTGGTGATCAGGGGGCTGGTAACGCGTTTTAATGACTCAACATTTCTTGACTTTGATTCGAGTCGCGGAAGGAAGGAATGAGTGCAGGTTGCTGGTCGCAAAGGGGTTGCTTCTGGCCAAAAGGCATTGGCCCGCTTTTTGTCGGCTGTCAAAATAACAAAGTGCTTCAGCTGCATTCCCTTCGCCAAGCCAGAAAACAGAAAAAGTGGGGTAGAACGAAAAAAGAAGAAAAAAAGGGCCAAAAGGCAAAAAGTGTCGATGAATGTTAAAGTTAACAAGTGACGGAAGTGAATTTACAGGGCGAGCAAAAAGAGCAAAGCAGCCGCGAAACAAAAACGAGCCAACGAACCGGCGAACAAAAAGCGAAAACCAACGCGAACACGAAAAAATTAAAAGGCAAGTAAGCAAAAATCATTTTCACAAAGTGCAGGACACGAAGGACCTTCCAAAAAAGCCCAGGACCAAACTGCTGTTGCTCTATCATTATTACAGCAAAACTACAGTAAAAACGAGCTCAATAGCCAAGCTTTTCCATAAATTGAAAAATAACATTTTATTATTGTGAATAATCAATTGGATAAAGATTTTATTTCATTAACAAATAATACTGATATAAATGAAAATTATGAGAGAAATGAGTGGGCAATGATGGGCGCAAAAAATAATCATAGTTTCTATTTCCGAAAGCTTAAATATACACAATTAAGTTTTAAATCAACAGACAGTTTAAACATTTCAATACTGGGATACATACAAATTTATTTGAAATGATTGGGAATAAGTCATTAAAATGTACCGTGTCCCACAATCTTTGTGACATTTTCTCGGCTTATATTTCAGTACATGCACGGGCGCTTTTCCGCCGAAAAACATTATAAGGTATTAAAGCTCGGCCATATATTGACCCAATCAGATCTTTGACATTTTCGCGGCTTATATTCATCGACTCAAAAATCGAAATCTGATGCACTTTCCATCGCCTTCTCTTTGCAGTTCTGCTTGCCGTCAGCTGGGAGGATTGGTGGACATACGATGGCATCTCAGGTAAGCTTTTCCGCCTGATCCGCCCCTCATCCGCCCCCTTTCATCGCCGCCGTTTAAGTTTCATAAATACCAACAACAAAGTAAATTTTAATCAAAGCTCAACAATAACCGCGGACGGAAGCGGAAAGTAAAATTTCAGCCAACGAGCAGCACGCGTCGCTCCAGCAACAAAGTTGGTTGCGGCAAAGGGGTGGGGAAATCCAGGGGAGCAGGGGGATACTTTTCACCTGCTCGAGGGTCGCGGAAAAGCCAGGGCGATAGCCATTTGTTGTTGTTGCTGCTGCTGCTGCTGCTGCTGGTGTAAAACGATTTTCTCAGCGACTGAAGCTGCACGCGTGAAATGCATGGAAAAATAGCCAAAGGAAAATGGCTTGGGAGGATGGGTTGGGAAAACGACGAACGGGAAACGGGAAACGGGAATCGGGAGGTGGGTGGGGGAAAAGCAGAGACGAAGCCGATTTGCAGCTGTCAAATGGAAAGGCAGACAAAGTATTCAAAGAACCCGGGCGTAGAAAGAGAGCGAGCTTTCCTTCTTTTTGTTTTTTTTATTTTTTTTTTATTTTTTCTGAGCACCATTGTCTGGCGTTGAAACGTGATAAGCAGGAGCCCAGCCGACGAAAGAGATGCAGCTAGCAGCCAGCGAAAGAGAGGGGTATATGAGCAGCAGAGGGAGATGGGAATCGGAGCTCCGAAATGGAAAACAGTTCGCCATGTGTCACTACGGGCGGCGAAATCGGGGCAGAGGTCCATGGAGATTATGTCCAGACAGGACAGCAGACAGCCGATAAGCGTTGCTCCGTCTCCCTCACTCCCTCACTCAGCCCCGCCCTGCCGCCTCTGCCGCCCATGCTGCATTCTGCCGTCGGTGGAAGCATCTTTCTTAATCTTATTAGAGACACAACGGCGACGCCATTTGCACAAGACAAATGCATAAATAAGTTCAAGTGCTTTGAATTTTGAATTGAATTTGGCGAGCGGGAAAAAGCAAATGGAGAGTGCAAGATAGATCGCACAAAAATCAAGCTTAAACTCAGGAAAACTGAGCAGGAAAATGAAGTGACTGAGGAAAAATATGCTGAATTGTACAAATAGAAGAATTTAAACGCCTGTCTGCAAGGACGCATTTCAAATACTTCGGAATCGACTGCGGCCCAAGTCAAGTGGCGCGTTTCTCGCCGTGTAAAAGCCTGGTAACAGGGGTATCTTGTAACACGTGTTGTCAACAAATTGCAACCGAAATCCGAGGCGAACTTTGTGTGTCTTTTTGGCATAAATAAATTTACATAAGCATTGCATGCATGTCGGCTGGAGGACTTCAAATCCCTCGCCAGGGGAACACCACTGAGTGTGGCTCAGGGGGCGGGGGTAAGAGGGGCCACGGAATTGGCAGAAGGTTGCCCCGAAAAGACGGCTTAGCCTCAGCTGCAGTTGCAGCTGCAACGTGCCACTTGTTTAACGTGATTTGCACTCCCAACGAGCCAAATAAAGGCGGCCAAGCGGAATCAAACGAAGCGTGCTTCATGCCACCCAGCGTGCTTCTTTTGCCTTTGGCACCACCCAACCACCAAACTATTCGACTCAAAAAAAAACACAAAAAGAAGAAGATGAAGAATAAATCCCCACACCACCAGCACTGCCAAAAACCAGCCACCCACTGGGGCAACAGCCATGCAGCCAGATCCCGGATCCAGTCAGCCAAGCCACTAATGTTGTTAATGGCTGCTAAAATCGTTTGGCAATTGCCTCATTGACTCGACTCCAGACCGCAATTTAATAGACTCGAGACTGCAACATCCTCCGCGGCGTTATCTCAAGTCTTCAACTTGTATCCGCCGATTTTACTTATCCTCCTTGGCGCAATGCCTTGGTGATGAGCACGTGACACGAGTGAAGAGACCTCGAGTTCCCATTGTTTTAGTGATAGATACACCACTATTTGCTGGCAAAAATACAGGCGTTCTGCACAAGAATGTATCTTTTGATCATAAGCTAGAATAGAAGCTGAAATTTTAGTTAAGTCCATGAATAATTAAATGATAAACTTGGCTACAGCAACTACTGCAACTAACTGAAATTGGTCTTCTGTTATTCAGCCGTATTCAAGCAGTTCAACTAATCTCTTTAAGCGAATAGAAAAAGTATGAAAATTATAGGATCGCCACGCTCTAGAGTTAATTGCCTAACCCATTTAATGGCCACAGCATCTCCAGTTTTTCATCAGGTTTCATTCGCCACTCCTGGGATTATTTTCGCCCCGTTCCTCATCTTTTATTTTATCCGCTTTTCCTTTGGCTTTTCTTTTCTTTGGCTAATGCGATGGCGTCGTTGAGGTCAACAATCGTTTAAACGCGAGTACGTGGCATATCTATGATTGAAGCTCCTGATTGCGGCCTCGCAGCGAACGTGTTGATTCCCATGGCCCCTTTCACGCCGCCCCCGCCAACCAGTCAGCCAACCAGACGTACGTACTACGTGTCGTATACGCAATGCGACTGCAGGCGAAGCATTTTTATGGATACATCAGAGAATGGAGAATGCAAAGGAGGATTGGTGGCGGAAAACTTTCGAAATGTTTGCCATAAATGGGATTACAAGTGGCTGGAACGCAACGGACTCGAATGGAACGCCGTGGAAGGGGCTTTAATAATTGGTTGATCCTTGAGCAAGCAAGCGAAAAACATGGTGCAAGAAAGGATAAGCGAGGAATATAAATAAAAACCATAAACTCAATTAAGGCACTGCAGCCGTAACTCCATGTTATTAAATGAAATAAAACACCTGGCATTAGGTTATATTTAACAGCATGGCTTAAAACGCGTTGCTTGTTGTTAAGCTGAAACTCAAAACAGGAGAAAAACAGTAAAATGCTTAGCAGAACTCGATTCGTTTAGAGGAAGATTTGGGTATTCACACCCAGAACTCAAAATGCAACACTTTCGATTGCTGAAAATACAAGGAGCACAGATTAAATGAACTCGACAATAGCAACAAACTCAGTCCTGGGAACTGGCCATAAAAAAGCTGGCCTATTGTTTTTTCGCATTCAGCTCGGCTTGATTTCATATTGCCATAAATTAAGCTGCCCGAGCTGCCAGATAAAGTTGGTCAAAGCCAGGAGCAAGTGAGATAGCACAGCGCAGACGAGGGAGACGCCAGATAAAGCTGCAGTTTTACTGTTACAGTGGGTGGCGTTGGTGTGGTGTTGGTGAGGGGTGGTGTTATGGAAATGGAACTGTGATTGGGGTGGTGTGGAAAACTAAGTAAACCGCACGAAATTAAACAAGGGCTGGATGGCTTAGTTGTGTGGCCAGAATCAAACAGACGCAGAGCCAACGAAAAACACAAAAAACACAAAAACCAAACTGACGCAGGCCAACACCTATGCAGATGCAGACAAATATTGTAATGGCCTCTGGCCCCCTGACTTTTGACCCACCCCCTGCGGCATTATGCAATTTGTGGCAGGTTTTGCAGCACAGCCCACAATTGCGGTCGGCAAGAAACTTTGAAAGGAGTTTGAGGCGAACTGGGTTCATAAATCTCCTTGCCACGTTTTTTGGCAAGGATCGATTCGAGCGACTGTCCAATAAAGCATGCTCACTCTTCGTTTCAGGACCTGCCTTTTGGGGCCTCATCAATCCGGAGTGGTCGCTGTGCAACAAGGGTCGTCGTCAGTCGCCGGTCAATCTGGAGCCCCAACGCCTGCTATTTGACCCCAACTTGAGGCCCATGCACATCGACAAGCACAGGGTGAGTCGGAGTGTCCTCCGGGGCATAGACATACACATGTATGTTTCCTTCTTGCATGTAGTGCCCCAGATATATAGTAACAGATATAATATCTTCCTACGCGCTATGAATGTTTGCTGACATCATTTTGTATCTCTAGATATCCGGACTGATCACTAATACGGGCCACAGCGTCATCTTCACGGCCGGCAATGATACGGTGGCCAACTACGACGGCATGCAGACGCCGGTGAACATCTCGGGCGGACCGCTGTCGTACCGCTACCGCTTCCACGAGATACACATGCACTACGGCCTGAACGACCAATTCGGATCGGAGCACAGTGTCGAGGGCTACACGTTCCCGGCGGAGGTGAGTTACCGTAATGCCCATGCCTACTGGTGCCGCCTTTCCACTGGTGTCACTCTCAATTTCCGGCGCAGGGTGAGGCCCAAATTAAGCATGGGACACTTTGACACTTGCTGGGGCTGATTGGGGCTGGGGCCTCCAATGGATTCTATTTCGGTGCCTTGGCCTGTCAACAGATTTCCCACTTTCCCTCTTTAACAATTCAATTGTGTGTTTTTTGTTTTGTTCTGTTTTTTTTATTTATTTTTTTGTTGCTGCCTCTTGTGTGCCCCTCTGGGCAATGGAATGCCAGGCAGTGGGGGAGTTTCTGAACTTTCCTGCGTCATTTCATTGCCAAGCTGGCATTGTTGGGCCTGCGCCACTGACTGTAAACTTGTTAGCCCGCCCGCTCAAATATTTACACAGATAAACGAGCGGAAGTGTATTTGATCAGCATTTAATGCAGCGAATGTCGATTTGTCGCTGACAAAAAACAAAAATGGCTCAAAAAAGAAAGAAACATAAGAGGGGGTAAGTTAAATAAATAACAAAGTCAAAAGGCAAAGAGCTCGGCGTCTTTGTCTGCAGTTCTCGACGTTATCAGCAACGCGACGACGTCGTCGCCAGGTTCAACATGTTGGAAACTCGCCCCACTTGTCTGCCGCTTTGATTTGAAGCCCCAGCCTCCGCTTTTCCGCTCTTCCGCTTTTCCGGCTTGCCGCCCCGCGGACGCGTCATTCACACTTTCGCGAGGCGGAATTTCCACAAAGACAGCTCGGCTCAGGTTACCTATTTGCCTAACTAGAAGTGTGGCTTGATTTTGCACAAATATTTTCGAAGCTGAGACAATATATTACAAATCGATGCTTCTTAAACTATCTGGTAGATAATCTACAAACAGCGCGAACACATTTAACATATTTCACGTTTGCAGGCTAACGAGAGTGAATGATTTGCACAAGTGCGTTCCTCCTGGCTTTTCACCGTCTGCTTCTGATGGCTGATGATTTTGTATTGTTTTATTTGTACATTGTTTTGGGGCAGCGGGAGGGGCATATTTATGTGTCATATGGCAGGCGTTGTTGCGACTCGCAGACACCTTGTCTGTGTTTTGAGCCCCCGCCCTTCGCACACTTTTCACCCTCCGTGCATTTTCCGGAACCCGGAATCCGGAATCCGGAAAATACACATGCGTGCCCTCGCCCCCTTGTTTGCTGTTTGTCAAATATGATTTAACCTCTCGGAGACCGTGTTTTGTTCATTTTGATGTCAAGTTCACACACAGGCTCGCTTCACTTGATTTGCGAGCACGTTATTAAAAATATGTAAATACCCACGACTTTCGGCAAAGGATTTCTACTTGCCACCGTCGTCTTCAGCCGGTTCTTAGCTGGTTATTTATTGCCCCAGATTTATAACTAAGTGGTAGTGCTGTCCCATTGTCCCATTGTCCCATTGACTTAATGACCTGTGGAGTATGTGGGTGGCATCCGTAATCTCTGACAAATTTCACTGGCCAGATGTTCATTAATTAAAACACATTTCTTCTGCTGGACCAGCTGTTGCTGTTACAAATTGGTTATTGTCTCTGGTTAATGAACCCATAACTTTTATTTGACCTCAGATGGGGCAACTACAGTGTGCGATTTATTAGCCCAGCCACTTTGCTTACTGTCGGAATAGCTGCTCCAAATTTATAACTGGCTACGATATCATTGATTTATTCTAAAGTAAGAAACAGCACTTACATGGGCTAAAATCCACATTTGAACAATGAAGGAGTACATAATGGCTATAATTTGTAACTATTAGGTCTTCCCGAAATTACGAGTGCTCCTTGGCGATTTTTGAAGAACCTCTCCGCCGGCAAAGAGTCCTCCACTCGCGATGCTTAATCCTGTCGTGCGTCTTTCTGATCCTTGGCCACTTGACTTGACTTGAGTTGAGTCGGGTCGAGTTGAGTTGAGTTGCGTTGCGATTTCCTGAGTGATGTGCGACACAGTTTTCATTTTCATCTCTGCAGATCCATTTCCATTTCCATTTGCCGTTTCGTGCCGGTCGTGCGGCGCTTTTGTCTGCTTTTCCGCCCCATTTTCCAGCAGATTTTCCTTTTCGCTGCTAGGCAATCAAAAAGTGAGCCGCAGCTGCCACAACAAACTGCAGACCGTCGACTGCAGACGACAAACAAATAACGTTATAAATCTGTTGCATGTCAGCAGTTGGTAACAACCTTTAACCCCCCACGTCCGACTTTTGACATCGACTACCAACTGTCAACGACTACCAATGTCAGTGTAAATTAATTTGAAATCCGCCCGGGGGAAGCAGTCGTTCCACTTTCGCCATTGACAAAGTACGCCCTGCATTTCGCTTAAATTACTTTGGCTGCCAAGGAATCGCAGACTCTTATTTCGTCGCTTTGGGAGCCCAGGACCCCAGGACCCCAGGACACCAGGACACCGGGAATTCGACAATTCGCCGCTCAACAGCCCACAAATTGTTCTCTCGTGTAAACAATCGAGTGATTAAAACGCAGTTTGCCTGTCTGCCAGCTTGATTTAAGCCCAAAGTGACAAACAATTGCCAAGCTGAAATGGCAGATTGAGGAGGAGACGGGAAGCCACTTGAATGTATTTTCAAAAGAGCCTGGCGATGAACGGAAAAAAATAACTGATAGTAAACTATAAACTACTTTCGATGGAAAATCAAAAAATATTATATATATTATATATGGAAAAGGCTTACTTAATAGATACTTTAGTTTAATACTATCTGTTTGATGCAGCCGAAAGTCGCTCCTGAATAAACACTCGCGAATAATATGGGAGAATATTAACCATGTTGCATTGTGGATCAATTAAATCATCGCCGAAATAAAGCAGCCAGGGGATCCCAGCTTCCACTTCCCAGGAAGCCGTCAGTCTCCGGCCAATGAAGGCATTTTCCGGCCGTAACAAAAGCCGCCTTAATGGGCCCCGCCTCGGAATTTGATCTGCCTTAATGAATTCGTAATTGGCAATTTTAATTAATCCCCATGAAATCCGCACAAGATTGCAGCCGTGTCTTGGATTTCGCCAGTCTGTTGTCATTGAATGCCAGTGGCATACACCTGAATGGCGTGGGGAGGGGGTTTGGTGTAGTTTGTCGGCGGTGGGTGGGGATTTTGCAAAAGTGGGAGCCAGATATGCGTTATTTCTATTTGCAATGCACAGTTGCCTGATTTTGATTTGTTTTGGGCCGCGGTAATTTAGCACTTGTCTTGTGGCTAAAATTTAATCACCAGGGGGTTTCGGTTTTTGGCGAGCCCCCCCTTTTTGGTTGTGATTTAGCGATGGCCGCGTGAGCCAGCTAAACTATCGCCAGTGGCGTAGATAATTTGCTTCGTGATTTGGCAGCAAATTTGTACCGCACTCTGCGGCCGATTTATCATCCAGCAGTCACGTGCTCATCCAATGGCCTGGTATTTGTCCCCCACTACGTAACCCACTAACCACCCCCCTCGTTATGGTCAGCCTGGAGCCAGGCCTCTTAACCCACCACTGACCCCTGACTGCGGTTGGAAACCACGGGCAACGCAACCCAAAACGACCAACAACCGGCAATGGCTTAACCATTAATTTACGCGCTAACCATGAAGTACTTAAATATACAAATGTATCTGTATCTCTATCTGTGTGCCCGAGTGACTGAGCACGAACGAACGCCAAAATATTTGCTGCTAATGAGGTCGTGCTGTAATTTTAGCAGCCACCCGCCCCCGGAAAGAGTCGTAGTACAACCCCTTTTGGAAAATCCGTTTAAAGGATAACCAAACCAGCAAGCAGGCAGCGATTAAAGCACGTTTTTGCCACCTTTTAAAACGCTACTAAGTCGTTAATGGGGGCCGAGTAGATTTTAGCTGGCGGGTAATGAGTTTGGTGAAGTTCTTGATTGGATTATGATGCTGGGTACGTCAGGTGGCGAGACGGTGCTTTAAGCGCCTGGCTAAGAGCATTTTGCAAGTGGCTCAACTAGAAGTTACTTATAAGGTGGTTGTTTAAAGCTCGATTTGTATTATGTTAAAAACCGCGATGTTTTCAACAGGCCTTTCATCATAACTTGGCTAAGAATGGTCGCACAGCTTTAGGGCAAAATAAAAAAATGTTATTGTTCATTTTAATCATACCTCGGCCAAAAATGATCGTAAAGTTGAAAGAATAACTGTTTTGAGCAGCTAATTACCAAATCTATCCATCCCTGTCACTTTTAGACGGATTTGGGAAAATTAATTTTTTGGTAAATTTTTGCATTTTTTTTAAGGGGTAACATCGTCAAAATTTGAAAAAAATTACAAAAAATTAGCATTTTAATTTTTGGACACAGTTCGATTTTAAATTTAATTACGAGCACACCGACGTATAACATTCCATATTCAGACAATTATTTCAAAAGTTATGGCAAAAAAACGGATTATTTTATGACCGAAATTCGAAAAAACGGATTTTGGCAAAAATGGAAATATTTTAAGTGAGCATTTTAATCATAACTTGGCCAAAAATGATCGTAAAGATGAAAGAATAACTGTTTTGAGCAGCTGATTACCAAATCTAACCATCCCAGTCACTTTTAGACGGATTTGGGAAAATTAATTTTTTGTTAAATTTTTGCATTTTTTTTAAGGGGTAGCATCATCAAAATTTGCAAAAAATGGCAAAAATTTAGCGTTCCCCTTTTTGAACACAGTTCGATTGGAAATTTAATTACGAGCACAACGACATATAACATTCCATATTCAGACAATTATTTCAAAAGTTATGGCAAAAAAACGGATTATTTTATGACCGAAATTCGAAAAAACGGATTTTGGCAAAAATGGAAATATTTTAAGTGGGCATTTTAATCATAACTTGGCCAAAAATGATCGTAAAGATGAAAGAATAACTGTTTTGAGCAGCTAATTACTAAATCTAACCATCCCTGTCACTTTTAGACGGATTTGGGAAAATTAATTTTTTGGTAAATTTTTGCATTTTTTTTAAGGGGTAACATCATCAAAATTTGCAAAAAATGGAAAAAATTTAGCATTCCAATTTTTGGACACAGTTCGATTGGAAATTTAATTACGAGCACATCGACGTATAACATTCCACATTCAGACAATTATTTCAAAAGTTATGGCAAAAAAACGGATTATTTTTTTGATCGAAATTCGAAAAAACGGATTTTGGCAAAAATGGAAATATTTTAAGTGGGCATTTTAATCATAACTTGGCCAAAAATGATCGTAATGATGAAAGAATAACTGATTTGAGCAGCTAATTACCAAATCTAACGATCCGTATTAATTTTTGACAGATTTTGGAAAATTAATTTTTCGGTCAATTTTTGCATTTTTTGTAAGGGGTAACATCATCAAAATTTGCAAAAAATGGCAAAAATGTAGCGTTCCCCTTTTTGAACACAGTTCGATTGGAAATTTAATTACGAGCTCATCGACGTATAACATTCCATGTTCAGACAATTATTTCAAAAGTTATGACAAAAAAACGGATTATTTAGATTTCCCATTTAAACGATTATTTCCAATATATTGGCCAAGAACTCATAGTGATTGGAAGGAAAGTCTGAATGAAGGCAGATAGATAGCACGAATGCAGTTTGTTGGGAGGGGTTTCGTTTTGGCTAAAATAATCTAATATTTGTTTTGAAGTCATCGTGGTATTTTGCTCGTTTTAATACAGCCGACCATCTCAAGTGCTCTTGTTATCCTGCAGGACATCCTTTGCACTCTCAGCATTTCCATTTGGTCGCGCTTTCAGCGCCAGCAAATCGCGTTGGTCTGCTCATTTCCATGTTTTTCAGTTACTCTTCTTTATCTTCTGCCTTAGTGCAGGGCATAATTAGCCAAAAGTGCTATAAGTGCATCGGAAAAGTGCTACAGGAAGGGGTTTCCAGACAACCATGACAAACTGCGGCCAGAAATGGAGCGATGTTGGTCCGGTAAATCGGCTCCTTCCTCGATTCTCCTCTGTTTTCGGTCGTTGGTGTGCGTGTTTGACAATGTCCCCAGTGCGTTGTTAAGCTAATTTGCTTCATTTGTCTAGAAAACTGACACAGAGCAAAAGGAGGACGGGGCAGACCATACATAGGCGGCAAAGTGTTGACATGAGGCCATGTTCTCGGCCTAAACCACCAAGCCTCTGCTTCTGTTGGCCATGGCCAATATTATCGTGCCCGGTCAGTGCAGAACGAAAGCCAAGTCAAGCGGCTGAAGGGCCAAGAATGTTGCTCCACCTCTTCCCGAGTTCTTCCACCTCCATCCCCATCACCCCCAACTACACCCCCTCCCCCAGCCAAACCAATAAGCCCACTGCTACCTCTGCTGGGGAAAATATTTATGCACAGTGGAGCTTTGAATGGGTACATTGGTATTTTTATAGAAAGGTTATGGCGACGAATCTATAAGCTTAATTTCGAATTTGATTTTAAGCACTAACTACTCAATTACTTTTTATTTTCCATTTATTACGAATTCTGAAATCAAAATGATGAGTAGTGCCTAGTAAATTGTAATCGTAAGCACATACTACATATTATTGAAAGGACATTAGATATCTTTGGACTAAGAATGATTCATGATAAGAGCTAGAAATGCGGCTTATTTGCAATATCGAGCAGTTTTGCGCCATTTGCCCCACTGTGCGGGGCAGCTTATTGACTGCGGATGTGGCTGGGCGATGGGGTTTATGAGGCAGAAGGACCCACTGTGCTGGCCAGGCAAAGTTTCAGCAGCTGGCGTCGCGCTGGTCGCTTTGACTCCTGCTCCTGCTCCTGCTCCTGCTCCTGCCGTGGGGTTAAAGTGGGCGGGGGTTACAGCAAGGACTACACGAGGACACAGGACTACGGACTACGGACTACGGACTAGGCCTGAGTCTGGGGCTCTGGGCTCTCCGCTCTGTGGAATCCATGCAGTGAAAACATGTGTAATTGATCTGATTAAGTTGCCTTTGCCTCTGCGTGTGGGTATTCGTTTGTATGCGAGTGTGTGTGTGTGTGTGTGTGTGTGTGTGTGTGTGTGTGTGTGTGTGCATGTGCTGGCCAAGAAATATGCCAGAGGAGCTGGCTTTGTTCAAACAAATACTAGTGGGAAAGGGGCATGCCCCAACACCGCTTAGGCTTTTGGCTCTCTGCGTTTTGGCCGGCTGGTTGTCCGGCTATTTGCTGGTACTTACACTATTTGCCCTTGTTGTTGCTATTGCCATTTTTGTTGCTGCTCGTCTTTATCCGCATGTATCGTATTTGTTGTTGCGGCCCAGACACACTGCTCGTATTTATTTGCTTTGCCACAGGCTTTGACGGTTTAATGAAACGGAAATATAACATTTTAGTTTGCGGTCAAATATTGTATAATTTTCCCTCAGCACCAGCCGCCCCTTTGTTGCCACTTAGCACACAGAAAGGAGTGGATGGGGTAATTCATTGCCTTTATGATTCAATTTCGTAGATATTAGGCCAAAGGTGTGAAGGCATTGGAAAATGCGCCGAGTGAGGGTCGAGATTTACGCATTACGAAATGCGATTTATTTGTCTTGCATAGGAAGATTTTAATGTGATTTAAAGACTATTTATAAAACTGAAGACTTAATTGGGTCGACAGTGTGGGAGACCGCCCAGAATAGGTTTATTTAAAGGTTACATTTTATTCAATCTACTTATCGGATTTTGAGACCACTTTAAAATTTGATTAAAAGCCAACAGGCTCTTAAAATCAGCTTTAAACAAACCAACATCAAATATACTTACGTTCTGACTACGAAAGAAGGCGTAACTTAAATTGTTATTTCATGTGACTTAATTTCTCACAAATATATTATTAAATACTTGTTTATTCCGACGTGGCTCTGCTTAACTCGTCTGCAGCAACTTGTACAGTTTGGAAACTAGTTTTTTATGTTAAATTTTTAATTACCAACCAAAAGTGCGCCATCTGGCGTTGAAGTGGCAAAGCTGCTTGGTTGTTTAGTTGTTCGCTTTTCTCATGCAGTTAACGCCCAGGATTTGGCCATATTTTGGTTGTCTGAGCAGGAAGCTGTTTTGTGCGAATGAGTATAGCTGCTCTCGGACTGTGGCCACTTCTCAAGATGAAAATGACAGGGTGTGCTATATGGAAATTCCCAGCTAAATAAAAAAATCCATCTAAAAATAAATAAAAATTTGCCATGGTCTCGTCAAATTTTCATGTGCTGCAGCACTACCAAATATCTTTAGGTATGCGTACATCCATGCAGGGACAGTGCGTTTCGCAAGTGAAGAGTTTTGCGTGATTTCCTTACCATCAAATATTTGCCAAAAATGAACAGGATATACGAGTATTCATTTGTAGCCATATTATGATATATAGCACTTTAAAAGTGAATGTGTACTTGCGAAACGCACTGTTGGCAGCCGAGTTCTCTTCGTTTTGATAGAAACTTCAGTTATATTTGCATTAGTTGCCATTTTTGCCACCCCCAGTTTGCCGCCCAGTTTCCGCTGCTCCGGCAATTGCAACTTCACCAAACACTCGGGAAAAGGAACTTTGGGAAATTTTAATTTAATTTAATTTTTATTTGCCCGACTGGGCACACATTAAAATTGCAGCATGTAGTTTTTTAATATTTAAATGCACGCCTCGTCGCCCACCGCCGCTCTTCAATTCGTCCTGTTCTGTTCCCTGCTCCTTTCAGCCATTCTCCTTTTGGTCCTTGCAATTCCCAGGGAAAAGGAGGAGTAGATGGTCGGGACAGGGCATGTGGGGAGTCCTGGGGGAGGGCGAGCTCAGCTGGCAGGACTATTAACTGGCCAGCGCCTATGGCCACGCCCACTGGCCATCAGTGTGTGCTCTTTGCTATTATTATTATTATTTTCACTATTGTCTGCAGCATTTCCTTCCGCTCGGTGCGTCTGGTCTGGTCAGCCAGCTCATGCACTCACACCTAGCCATTTACCAACACTCACACTCTCACACACACACACACAGACAAACACATGCAGGCCGAGAAACAAATATATCCCAGACCCAAATCCCCCCGAAAATCCATGTATACATGTTACACAAGCTAACAAAAAATCGCTGGAAATGCCTGAAAAGTAAACGCAAAGGAAGTTTCAGTGCGAAAGATGATTGCCTAATAAAGTTTAAAGTGCCATGCTTTAATTATAATCTCTAAAAGTATTTTAAAGCAACGGAAATATTAAAAACTCTTCGGAAATTTAAAGGAAATGTGTGCCTAAGAGTTTCCAGTTGTCAAACGTAAAAACTTTCATTGAACACTTTAAGAAAGTTTCTAATCGCTGGTAATTATTGTAAATTGAGTTATTTGCTTCGCCGATTGTTCGCTATTCATTGAGCAACCCTCGCTGTAGCCATTTGCCTAGGATACATTTTGTGGAGTCGCCTCCTGACCCTTTCCCTTCTGCACTCCCCTCTGGTTCTTCTTCATCTGTAGGCGTTTTGTTGCCGACATGAAACAAAAGTGCAAATGCACATGAGGCTGTATGTGTGTGTGTGTGTGTGTGATGGTGGTGGTAAGGAATAATCTTGGCCCTTTTGGTGTCTTGGCTAAAAGCAAAATATTTGCCGTTTTGTTGCTTGATCTTCTCTCCAAAATATTAACGTTTGTGTGTGTGTTTCTACCCACGTGTTTTAGTGTTTGTGTTTGTGTTTGTGTTTGCATTTGTGTGCATTTTGTTGATAGTTGGGATTATTTTGGAGCAATTTATGCGAAACAAGGCGAAGGCTTCCGTTGACCCGTGCCACGCCCCTTGTTGTGTGTTGGCTGTCACCGCCCCTGTATGCATTTGGGCTTAAATTGAGCAACAATAAAGTTTTGGCCACACAGCATGCGAGAAATAAAGAACGGGGACAGAAGGATAACCCAAAAGCACGATTTTGAAAGGGTTCTGCAGTCCTTAGCCATATCTCACTCGGTCTTCTCTCCATACATCTTGCTGACTCTTCATTTCTCCCCTGTACTTGCAGATACAAATATTCGGCTACAATTCCCAGCTGTATGCCAATTTCTCAGATGCCCTCAATCGCGCCCAGGGCATCGTGGGCGTCTCCATTCTGCTGCAGGTGAGTTATCCTGTCCCCAAGGTGCTCCAAAACGATGTGCGACTAGCCATAGCCGCGATGGAAGCGCTGCTCCTTAGCTGGAAAATACCTAAATATCTAAAAGCTATTTATATATGAAGTATCTTTCAATTATCTTTACACATTAGCTTGGAGACCTCTCGAATGCCGAGCTGCGCATGCTCACCGATCAGCTGGAGCGGATTCGCTATGGCGGCGACGAGGCCTTCGTGAAGCGGCTCTCCATCAGGGGATTGCTCCCGGACACGGATCACTACATGACCTACGATGGATCCACAACGGCACCAGCCTGCCACGAAACAGTCACCTGGGTGGTGCTCAACAAGCCCATCTACATCACGAAGCAACAGGTATGTTCCGGCCATTTACCAGCTATGTATAATATAGTAGTTATGCTGGAAGTGCGCAAGTTCTTTTTTTGTTAAATTATTAATACAATACCCGCATAAAGCCCATCGCAGTCAGCGAGAATTCGCAGCGCAAAGTGAAGAAGTCAACAGCATACTGTTTATTCCAAACGAATTCATCAAGTTGCTGTGGTCGCTCTACTTGTACCTTTTTGCCCAATCTCCGTTTCCCCTGGCCGGCAAATAAAAAAACATTTTGAGCGATGAGCACCTTAATGTTTGTTAATTAGTATACAGTGCTTCGTTGTCCGCTGGTCCCCGGGTTCTTCTGTTTTATTAGCTAATTTCATTTAAGTTTTAAATTGAGTTGCTGCTGCTGGTACTTCTGCTGCTGGAGGAGCAACAAAGTGGATAGCGTCCATAACTCAAAGGAATGGCGAGCAGCGAAAAGCGAGCTACACACACACACACACATGCAGCTGAAAACAGAGGGAGAAAAAATGTAACACAAATGTTTATTAAGTGCAGCGCTGTAATAAAGACGCCAGCGGTGGGCGGTGGGTGGTGGTGGATGAGTGGTTTCTGGAGCGGTTGAATGGTGGCCAGCGGCGTACGTGTAAACAATGTAAACAGGGCGAACAGGAAAGAGAAAGAGGGAGAGAGAGGGACAGAGAGGGACGCCAACACACACATGCACATGCGGCTGCAGCAGGCAGACTCATAAAAACTTCAACAAGCTCAATGGCACCCATGGGCACATGATTACAACTTGTGGCAGCCATGGAGGACTCTGGTCCACCAGTCTCCCAGCAACGTAATTTACTGCCTGCACCGCACACTCTCAATCTCACACACACACACACACACACACCCACACACACACACACGCGCGCAGGAAGAGACGGCAAGAGCGAGGCAGAAAGAGAGAGCAGAAGACAGCACCTTGCTGGCAAAACATAATTTACCAAATTAAAGTAAGACCGGTGTGGAAGGGGGCAGGCAGCACAGGAAGCTGCGCGACATGAGCTAAAATTGCAATTAACCCATTAACGTGAGCTCTCTGTCACAGCCGGAAGGGGAAAGCGATGGCGTCCCAAGGGTTAAGCCGAGTCACGGATCGCTGAAAAGTCACAGTCACGAGCTGTTAATAATACTAATTATTTTAAGTTTACGAGGAAAAAGATACAACTTAAGGCTTTAAAGTTATATTCTTTAGTATTTGCCATTTAAAATATTTTATTTAAATATTTCTTGTGAATTTCTGGTCTTGGCTGCCCTATGTTTTTGGCAAGTTTTAAAACCGCAATACAATCCAACCGGAAACGGGCTTTAATCCTTGAGTGCCATTTAGTGTTGCATACTTTCGGGACATCACACACACACACACACAGGCACACATACGCGCGCATACACGTATACCCAACTTAATTCACACTTGAACGGGCACGGGGGGCGAATCGAAACCCTTAACCCTCTGCAGCCCCCGCTGTCCTCAATCAATTTCAACCCGGCCACGTTGTCGTGAAAAGCGATTTTGACGGAAGTCAATTGATAAACAGATTGAGTAGATTAAGTGTTATTGACTCGTTGTCGTGGTTGTTGTTGCTGCTCCTGTCGTCTCATCGCTGCTTCTCTCTCTCTCTCTCTCTCTGTCCCTCTCTCTGTGTGTATGTGTGGGTCCTTAGAGTTTCCTTTTTACGTTTTTGTTCAGCGAGCGCTTATTTTTAGGATTAGCAATTTGTGTCAAGCTTGATTTTTTGCCAAGTGCGGATCGATGATGTTGTGTGTGCGAAAAGTTTATAATTATGCACGTTAAACGCTTGACGAACGGGCTAAAATCGGTTAGCTGGGCTCTCCGGCTTATCTTCATCGGCTGTTTGGCTTATTGTCGAGCCATTGTTGATCCACTTCCGTGTCTCGATGGTGCTGCAGGCACTACAGAAACCATGTTTGCTTTAAAGCGAAGTCATTGCATCACTGAAATCATTTTTAGTACGAGTAATGAATGCATGCAGCTAAGCTTCTTTTAATGCTATTAGTCAAACGGCGTTTAACAGTAATTATTATTTTGTAGCCGTTTTAAGCAGCCGACAAAGGTTCAGTTAATTAAGCGACTCACGTAATCCGTTGGGCTCGAAAACCTGTAATAGTGATACTCATCTGCAGAGTAATTCATAGAGATTTCATTTACTGCTTGCAGTTGCACGCTTTGCGCCGCCTGATGCAGGGCAGCCCAGACCACCCGAAAGCGCCCCTGGGCAACAATTACCGGCCGCCCCAGCCGCTCCTGCACCGGCCCATCCGCACCAACATTGACTTCAAGACGACGAAGACGAACGGCAAGGCCGCCTGCCCCACCATGTACCGCGAGGTCTACTATAAAGGTAAAGGTCAAGGTCAAGGATTAAAGTCCAAATACTTCAAATATTTCAAATGTTGCAATATCTTGCCAATGCTCGATCCCTTATTTGTGTGCCATATCCATATCTCTTGCAGCGACCAGTTGGAAACAGAACTAGAAGCCAGTGACGTGATGGCGCAACGTAACGCATCGTAAGCGTAGGCGTATGACGTAAGTAGCGAGCGGCGTGCAACAGGAGCTTCCACTAAACATACATATAACAAGGCGATGCCGAGGGAGAATTACACGAAACGGAAGGATTCAGATGGAGGAGGAAGAGGAGAAAGGGAAGGGACGAGGAGTGGGGTTGAGGATCACAAAGGAATCAGTGCAGCAGCGGCCAAAAAAGTGGCGATTGGAATTACACACATCTATATATATAAATAGGCAAAGGAATAATATGGATAGCGATTACGATTACGATAATTAGCATTAAATGTGCATTTTTTTGTCTCCCCCATAATGAAAATCAATCAGACCTTGATTGCCGTCAGAGGTAACTTTTTTTTTAGAGTGTGTGCATAGCGTAAGTACAATAACGATAAAACCAGATAAAACAGCGATGACTAGTAATCACAATTATCGACGTAACCATTAACGTAATCCACAAAACCAAACACTATTGTATGTGTTATGTTAGGCCGGACAACGTGAAAAGATCAAAATAATATAAACAACATACAGAATACGAGTTTCGATAGTTCGCAAGTGCTATGGCAGGCATTATGCAAAACCCACCCACAGAACAGACCTTAAATCCATACCAAAAATCCATTCCGCTGGATGTTTGGAAACAGTCTGTTTATGCCCCCTAAATGTGTATAGAGCGGAGTTTGTGTGTGTGTTTGCTGATATTAGGTAATAACATTAACAATAATCAAGTGTTAATCTTAATGGGAGGAAGTGCGTCAATGTGAAAGTACCAACACAACACTATTAATTTTTATTGCATAGTCAGATATTTTCATAAATAAGGGTGCATATTTCAAACTGAAAGCCTATGCCATAGTTTTGGTTATGGAAAAATATAGTTATTTGCCTTTTGCATTATTAGTTTTACACTAAGTGCATGCTTCAGCTTATTAGTTCTGCGTCTAAAATCATGCCAAAGTATTTGCTTTGAAATCCGATCAGTAAAACGTGACGCACTGCCAATATATTGGCCAATTTCGGGGCTTTAAAAAGGTCGCACGGGCCAATGCAGACTTAAAATACTTGCACACTTAATTGCAATTTTAAAATTATGATTTTCGGGCATTTTTAATGCGTAATCCCGAAGTGGAGGCTCCAACAGCATTACAGTGTCGCCACAAACGCGTGCATTTTGCATTTTAAATGCACTTGACCGCAGAGCATTCGCTGCTCCGCCAGTTCCCCACCGGCTTGTGTAACCGGGGAACCTTATCGAGCCCAATCACCCGGCATCCTGCGCCATCCTCGAGCACCCAGCTGCCACCCTGCACCACCCTGCACCACCCTGCACCACCCGAAAACCACCCGAAAACCACCCGGGAATGTCGGGCTGTCGCTTATCGAACGGCAAATGCAACATGAAACCACAAAATCTGTTGCGGTTATTTAAAATCACGTTTAAATACGAAAGTGCTGGCTGTCTCTCGCTTCGGTTGGGTTTTTCGGCCAGTATGAAATTCAACTTTTTAATGGCCAAAAGGAAACTGATTACGTATACGCCGCATGGCCGGGGACATGGCCGAAAACTGGCCAAAGCTGTACAACTTTTGTGTGATTTTTTTGCATTCGTATTTCTGGCTAGCTCTAAATACCCCTTTTGCAAAATCACATAATAATTTGTATAAACATTTGCATTATTTGCACAAGTTGACATTTTGCAGTTTTGTTTATGTTCATTGGCATTCGACTGAAACTTTTTGAGCTCTTTGTTTCATTTAGTTGGTTTTCAGTTTATGCATTGTTATTTGTACTTTTTATCTTTTTTGTTTTGGCTGTGCATCGAGGGATTTGCCAATGGGAAAATATGACTTAAATTAATTCATAGCAAGTGTAATTTATTTGAGTGAATCAAGCGGCAGCTGCTGCCTCAATTCAGATACCCTGCATTGGGTAAGGTTCTTAAATTGTGGAGGCAATTACAACAAATTTCACACTTTGAAGACCAAAAATACGTCTCTACAAAATATTTGCAACTTTGGTTTTAAAGTTGCAGCTTAAACCAACTACTTTCCTGCGATTATTCACACTCCCCTGCATTTACATGGTATTAGCCCGACCATCAATTAGCCAGAGCAGTAACCTAATTAGCCCGGCCAGGGAATTACGCAGTCCATCAGTTTATTTGCAGCAAACTCAATTCCAACTTTGGCTGACTTTCAATCAATCAAATGGTTTGGGCGAGGCGGTGCAACTCCGGCCAAACTGATTTGCGGTGAGTTCTGCACGATGCAGCATAACTGCAGCACAAGTGGGCGTTGGGGCGGGGGCGGGGGCGGGGGCGTGGCTGACCACTGGAGCTGGACAGATGGGGCTAACCCGACGCAATTGTATATGGACAGGAAAACAGTGTATGTGTGCATAGTGCAGGTGTAGCAGTATTTACTTATGCTCGTATTTGGATTACATGCTGTTGGGCCTCTTTTAAAACGCTTGGTAATTCCCAATCAAATGCACATCATTTACAGGGTATGCTCCCTGTCTCATGCTGCGATCTTTCCTTTTCCGTGGAAGCTGCCACTCTATCGCCACGCAAAAAATTGCGGCGGCATGATTTATATACGGGGTAGAAGTACTCCTTTTTACATCATTTCATTTTCATGCATATGCATATATGCATATGCTGCATGCGATTGCAGTTGGCCATTTCGACTATTGGCCATTTTGGTGATTATTTTGAATACATTGAAGTTGTGGGGGCATGGTTGCATTCCACACTCGGATAAAAGACAACATCGATCACGACAGTCGGAGGACGAGCAAAACCATTCGGAACAGACCTGCAAATATTGCAATTTGACAAAGTGACAAATTCGCTGCCATTATTTCTCTGTGGGGGTGGGCTTTCAAGCAAATCAGCGAACAGACTCTGTAGTGCCCTGTAATCATATACTTACTACATTTGTGGAACACTTGGCTATTTAACGTTTGGTTAATTTAACAACATTGTATTTTTGTTTTTTTTTCTAATATTTGAACACGCATAGCGCTAATTAATAGTAGGTATAATTACTAGAAAAAAGTAATATTTTCATGATTTAGCCATTTTTCCTGTTGACAATACACAGGGTTTTTTTTTATTCCCCGAAAAGCTTGGCATAAAAAGTGTGTAAGCAGCCATCAAACGATTGGAAAATGCAGGGTCAGCCGATTGGGGCAGCAATCCAGTGAGTGGAAAAGTGAGCTAGTGATGTAACAATACTCGTATTCTATTGATAGTACCAGCCAGATCATATTTCCGTGGCCGTATTATCATATTCCGCTGCTGTTTTTAAAGCTCGGAAGCAGATGAGCAAGGCCAAACCACTTTTCCGACCAGTTATGCAAATGGCCCCAAGTACAGGGGGTGCACAAAACCCAATCCCAATCGCAATCGCAATCGCAATCCCCAGCCCAGCCAATCCCCAACCCATTTGAAGCTTAAATAACACTGCCCAACCCCACTGCCCTTTGGGGCTATCGCTGCTGTCCACACAAGACTAATTAAATTATGGAAATTAAATTGAATCGAGCATATTTGTTGTTTGCAGTTCATAAATTTGCGCTGCTAAAATGTCCGGAGCAGCTAATGTTTCGCCCCTTCGGCCGTGACGCCATGTAAATCATTTCACAATAAAGCGCACAGCGCAGCAGCAGCAGCAGCAGCAGCAACTGCAGCAACACACTTAATTATGACATCATTAATTTTTAATAATGACAATTTTGCGACAATAAATCACTTAACTAACACAAATGCGCCAGAGCTGCAATATGCATGAAATTAGTAAACTTTAAACAATGCGCGTGTGATTGCGAGTGTGTGTGTGCGCGTGGGTGTGTGTATGTGTGTGTGGGTTTGTGGGCTTGTGGGCTTGTGGGTGCAAGTGTCAGGACGGGGCATCAATGGGTTAAGTTGGGCTGGATGAGCGAATAAACAGATAGACTGTCCCCATTGCCTTGTCCTGGCATTGAGTGATGCCAGCCAACAGGAGGATGTTGCCCCTGGGCGGCGATGTTGCTGCGGGGCAGCTGCAGCAACTGCAGTTGCAACAGCAACAGCAATTGCGAGTGCGAGTGCGAGTGCGAGTGGGAGTGTCGTGCATGGGATGAATTTAATTAATCTCGCTACCGTCAGTTGCACACAATTGCAATTAACTTGCAACACTCGCATAATTACAGGCGACCTCATGTTTTGCTACTTATCAGCATCAACATTGACCCAACGACAGCAGCATCCACCTGCAATCGCCGGCCATCGTGATGGCAGTCATACATACCCTGTACATGATAGTATTTTACTATGCACTGCCTAGAAGTATGCAATGGTATTTTGTGTATGGTTTGACTTCAAGTACACTGGCGCTTCCAAACTTTCAGTGATTTCGAAAGAAGTTTTCTCCCGGGGAAAACCTCCTATACATCATTGTTTTTCCGCTTTTCCACAGTCGCTCATACCCTCTTTCCGCACTTTCCCAGAGGCGCATAACGAGCGACAAGCTTGCCCTGACACATGGTCGACTCTCAATCTCGCCCTCTCTGTCCGCCTGTCTATCTGTCTCTGTCCATCTATCCATGTGTGTGTGTGGGCGGCTGAGTGTGTCTGTGTGTGCGGGCAGTGGTTGGCTCATTGGTCATTTGGTTGCAGCTCGGTTGGTGTTAGCGGTTGCTCGTCATCGTCATCATCAAACTGCTGCTGTTGTTGCTGCCGTTCGGCGACTGATTGCAAATGTTGTTGCAGCTGTTGTTGCTGCTGCTGTTTGTTAATGCCTGTAGAGCACAAAGCTGCTGCCTTGTGGTCCAGTGAGGCACCTGCCGCAATGCCACCCACCCACACCCACCGCCCACCACCCACCGCATCGCCGACCGCCCGCCAATGTCACTGCAAATTAACATTTTGTAACGCGTTTCGGTTGCTGCCGTGTTTTCATTTCACACTTTGGGCATTTGTGCACGTGTGTGTGTGACTGTAGGTGTGTGCGTGTGTGTGACATGCATTTGACACAGGAATTGGACAAGGCAATTGCCCAGGAAGCAGCGCCCGCCTCCCACTCTGTGGCAAATTTGTTGTATTTGCGCCTGATTGCCAAATCAAATATTTGGCGTACACAGCAACAAATTGCCAAGTTAATGCGATCATAGGAATTTATGGGGTTAATTTTAGCTTTAATTTTCCCAAGTTTCTGTTCTCATAAATGCGCGTTATTTGCTCTCAGTCATATATTACGAATACAAATGTAATTATAGCGCTTACCACGTATTATTCACTGTG